ACCAGGCAGGCGGCTTGAATTGTTTTTAGTTTTTGCTTGCTTAATTGGCAGTTATTTTCGGGTCACTGTTATGCGCTGTTTTCGAGAAATTTCGACAATTTATAAACTAACTGAATAGCCAGCGGAATAGTGAATAATTTAAGAGTTATCGTAAAAAGATTCCAAAATAGTTGAATTAGTTAAGTAGGCAGTTGGAGTCCTATCAATTCAAAATCGCAATCGATTCATTATAACGTTATTATAGGTGTTTAACTAATAATCCGATTAAAAACAATTTGTCGAATAATTACCAATTTAAAAGTGGTTCAATTAATGTTGTATTGGCAAACAGAATTATGATCCGATTAAAGCAAAACACTTACCTTTTAAGTTGGGAAAACTAAGTGCTTAAGGTCTCTGCACATAATCAATGATTTTAGATGAATGATAATGAGAACCGTTTAAAATAAATTTCTGCTTTCCCCCAATTTGCTTGCCAATGTGACTCTCTTGTTCAAGACTCTATTTTAGTAGCCTTTGAGAGGGTTTCCATGAAAGCTTGCGTCCCAAATTGCATCTTTCAAACTATCAATAAACTTTGGGAAAATGTGTGTTTTTGTTTGCTGTTTTTGCCTGGTAGGGAGAAGCTGTTGTTCCCACCAAGAGGTTATTTTCATGGCCGAGCAACAATGGCAAACTGTACAGTTTGCCATATGAATTGTGACAAAATGGGAATGACAGGGACTTCCTCTGCTCTCTCTCTATCTCGCTCTTCCATTCTCTCTCTATGACTTTCTCTCTCTCTCTCTTTCCCTTGCTTTTTTCTATCTACATCTCATATTGTCACTTTCCACGAGTTATAACCCCACTTCACTTCTCCCCCTCGGCCAATTTTCGCATTTTTATGCATGTTTTGACATGTTCAAGCATCGTTGGCGTCACTTCGCGATGTCAGCCATGCAACGTTTTATGGTCCAGCTATGTATGTTTGCCTTTGTGTATGTACATATGTACATACATACATACATACATACACACATACATGCATATAGTATACTCCATATAGTATATGGGGAGATCTGATAGGACTGCAGGCCGTTCGTTGTTGGGACATTTTGTCTGCGGCTGGCTTTTGTTTCCATTTCGCATTTCGCATTTGTTTAACAGTTAAATGGGCAGCATCGGCGTCGCTGCCGGCGTCGCCGCGTCTCGATAACAATTTTAATAGGCCATTTAATTTTTAATTAATTCTTCAAGCGCCAGTTGCCATGTCATAAAAATGTTTGCTGTCATGTTTGTCCAATGTCCTCGGTCCTTCGTCCTCCGTCCTCCGCCCTTCATTTGCCATCCGCCAGGCATTGATGATGATGTTTTTGGGGCGTTTAATGACATGTTTTTGTTTCATTCGGTCCTCTCCGGCTGGCCCTGCATATCATTATTATTATTCCGATGCTTCCCTTTGCCTTCTGCCTGCTGCCTGCTGCTCTGCTGCTCTGCTGCCTTTCTCCAAAAAATTATCCGCAATTTGCTTTGTTTATTGAACATTTGTCTATTTACGATGATAAGGGGCGCGCGCGTGTTTTTCTGTCGCAATTTCATTACTTTCATTACTCAAAACTTGCTGACGCACACACACCAAGAAGGGCCAGTGGCACATAGAGAAAATCATGTCCCTTCCACATTTAATACGTCCTCTTGCTGTAACGGTCCGACGGTCCTTTTACTGATTCTATTCTATTCTGATACTGCTTAAAGAAGAGTACTGATTTAAATGTAGGCGCCTTATTGCTTTTATAACTCACATTCCCAAAAATAGTCTTCTATTTTTTGTTCTCTGTGTATAATCTGTAATTAAAGCAAGACAGAGGAGAAAGTGTGAGGAAGAACCTCATTGCCCACTCAACCATTGCTGCTTGACCTCGAGTCCACTGGTGGAGGCCACCTAACCTTCGACATTGTGACTCTCGACCATGTTCCAACCACCACCCACCGCCCACCAACCCACCAGCACACCCACCTCCCCCACCCCCCTACTCCCCCAATAAACATTGTTTGGTTTTGTATTTGGAAATTTTTGTGACTCTCTTAATAGCTTTTTGTGAAAATTAATTTCTTAGCTATTAGAGGTTCTTGTCGTCTCAGTCGTCTCCAAATCCAACCCCCCCAACCACCCCCCGTTTGTGTGTATGTGTGTTTGAGTGTGTGTGTATGATGGAGAGTATTTTGTAATTACTTTATACCCGAAAATTGCCGTAGTAAAATATTTCTCGCTGGCTTTTGGCTCGGATTTTAGAGTGGCTCCAGGGCGAAAGCGAAAGGAGGGCGGCTCACGTTGACCCTGCCGACGATGTGGATTGCCCTTTGTCAGCGGACGGCACTCAACTTTCACTAATGAAATCAAATGCCTTGCCTAGCCACCGAAAATAAACCAATTTAAGTAAACCAGACTCACTACATATACGAGTACGAGTACGTATATATGAGTCCGATCGCATGCGAGAGGCGAGTTTGCTTGCGGGCACGAAAAATGTATATTATTATTCTCCCCGCAATGCAAAAATTAGTCGGTGAGCGTGGCTATTTCGCTTTAAATATTAAGCCACAGCGTAAAGCAACAGCTTGTAAATTTAAATGTTTGGCAACTATTTACAAAACGCATTTTCGCCTATGCAAACATTGATTTAATTTATCATTTAATTGCAATTACATTTCCACTGAAAGTAGCCGCATATTGATAAAATACATAAAACCCGAACTGTTCTTTTAAGAAAATCGCCCAACTTTCTGGCTGTTTTGCAGCCCAACAACGTTTAATGCTGTACACTTGTGAAAATAATTTACCCTTTGGCAGCAACAAAATGTCGCCAGTTCGACAGTTCCGTTAACGTGCCACGTGGCAAATGACTTGTCCAAACAAAATGCCATAATAGCTAAATCTGCCGAAGAACAAGGCCCTCCTCAGTGGACCAAAAAAAACCGAAGTTGACCATGTTGTGTCGTCCGACTGTGACTACGTGTGCACTTAACCCGTTCTCGGCCAACAGGGCCATTAAAGCACCCAAGCACCCAAGCACCCAAACTCAAAACCCCAAACCCCCATAACCCCAGCAACCAACCATACAGTCTCAATCCGAGATGCCAAATTTCAATCCCCAACATGGAAATCGTTTTACGGCCCCCGCTCTTGTTAAATGTGTATATGGCATGCAGTTTGGGGTAAACTTTCCCCGAAAATTGCTACGCATAATTGCCAGTTTTTGCTGGCTGTAAAACGGAGAGAAGGGAGAGGGGGGTTCGAGGGGGCTTGGGGGGAGTGGAGTCCTGCCCCTTAACCCGTTCGTAATCTTGCAGCTAGTTGAAAACGGGGGGTTCGTTCGGTCGACATGTGTGCGTCGTTAGTTAGTTAGTTATAACTACATACAATTTTATGGACGCCATATTGTAAATGTTATAATTTTCACTAACAATTTTTAGCAACCGTTGCCGTTGCTCGTTGCGTTGCAAAAAAAGGGGGGCGTGGTCGGGGGCTGTGGGCGGGGCTACCATTTATGAACGATGGCCATGCGACGATGATAATTTTCAACAACTTTTCCGTAGCGTGTGAAACACGGAATTCAAGAGGGTCTGAGTGGGTCTCTGAAGAGGAGAGGTGAGGTGGTAGGTTGGTTGGTTGGTTTCCCGGAAGAGCCTACACATGCAACACAACCTACCTCCCCCCTCCCATCCACCACCCCTGGCCACGCCCACTTCCCTCCGGCCATGTACTTAAACGTGCTTGGGATTTTAAAGTATATTTTTTACATTACAACTGAAGAGCATTTTCTGTGTGTTTTTCAACTCCGATTTTTGTCGTGCTTTTTTTGCTATTGTCGTTTTGGAGTTTTCTTTTTTTCGTTTTTTTGCATTTCAGTAATAAAATTTAATACATACACACAGGGCACACTCACACACACGCACGATTTTACTCAATTATAAAAGTTTCCACATTAAAAGTTCATTGCGCAGAGCCGAAAGTCTGGGCGAAACGAAAGTCCGAGGCGGAAAAAAGCAGGGAGCAGTGAGCAGTGAGCAGAGTTGTTGGGTTAGGTCGTGCCCACAGGCAGGAAGGCCTAGAAAGGTCCTGCCACAGGTCCTATTCTGTTTCCAGTCTCGATGCCACTCCACTCCGCTCCACACTCCACTCCATTTCAGTCCATTCCGATCCCTCGTCGTCGTGCTCCAAATCACTGGGCCTGGGCAAACAACATCAAAGCCAAAGTGTCTCCGACAGAAAAAGTTACGTTTTTTCTATTATTTTCATGCTTTTGAGGGCTGTCGCAGGGGGGCGTGGCACGGGGGAAAGGGGGAAGGGGGTCTGCCCAAAAAGGTTGTTGTGCCACATGCACATGATACTAAATGTCGGCAGTCCGGTTTTCTGGCCCTCAGCAGGCAAACGACTCTATCTGCTCCTGTTAATCCGTATCCGTATCTGTATCCGTATTTGTATCTGTATCTGCATCTGTATTTGTATCTGAACCTGTCTCTCCGTCATCTGCACAGTCCGAGTCCGGCCGGCTAATTAGATAGAAGTTCTGGATTGAAGCTTGTTAAACTGCGAATGGGATCACGTAGCGATGCCGCCATTGAAACTTCAGTCAACCGGTCCATTTAACGAGATTCCACTGTGCACGAAAATTCGAGCTGGGATTTACGGCCTTCACCTTTTCCGGCCAAAGGGAAAGTTATTAATTGAATTATTTTCTGGGCGGCGCACTTTAAGGCAGGCACGGACATGGACACCAATTAAGCAGGAAATGTGGCTTGCTTCTTATCTTTAAAATCGCGTGGCACTCTACCTTTGTGGGTTCCCCTCTTGCATTTCCACCTGCGCCATTTCTGCACCCAAATGTAAATATATGGGGAGCACGTAGAAAGTGCGTTTCGCAAACCATATATAATATTTCTTAAACGCATAAAATCCGAATTTAAGCCCCGACTACAATGTGTTTGCCACGTGGTTGCACGTGCTCTTCTCCTTGCAGGCTACGGAGGCGTCTCCCCCCGGACGCAGTGGGGTCGAGTGGCGGCCCTCGTGTACGCCCTCTTCGGGATCCCCATCGTGCTGCTCTACCTGTCCGCCATGGGCGAGGCCCTCTCGGCGGGCATGCGCTGCCTGTTCCGCCGCCAGCGGATCAAGGGCGGTCCGGGCGGGACCGCGGGCGGCGGCGGCTCCTCCGGCAGCGGCGGCCCGAGCTCCAGCGGCACCGGCGGCGGCGGCGGCGGCCGGAAGACGGACAAGAGCAAGGGCCCGGGGCATTATGGCCACCAGAAGCTGCACCAGTACGGCCTCCCCCGTCGGTCTACCAGCAGCAGCAGCAGCAGGCGGCGCAGCAGCAGCAGTCGCAACAGCAGCAGCAGTCGCAGCAGCAGCAGGCGCAGCAGCAGCAGCAGGGCAAGAAGGCCGCCGGCAAGCGGCGCGGCTCCCCCAGCGTCCCCATCTCCATCTGCGTGTGCGTGCTGCTCTGCTACGTGAGCAGCGGGGCCATCCTCTTCCACAAGCTGCAGAACTGGAGCGTACTGGAGTCGCTCTACTTCTGCTTCACCTCGCTGGGCACCATCGGCTTTGGCGAGATGGCGCCCAACGGGGCCGTCGCCCTCTACTCGGCCTCCGCTTACATCCTGGTGGGCATGGCCGTGGTGGCCATGTGCTTCAGCCTCATCCAGACGGAGATCGTGCTCTGGCTGCGCCGCTTCAGCGTGCAGGACCACGTGATGCCCAAGGCCGAGGAGCTGGCCCTCGTCACCGTGGCGGTCACGCCCAAGCCCTCCTGACAACGACCCAGCGCTGATCCCTCAATGGGAGTGGGCGGAATGGGAGTCGGAATGGGAGTGGGAGTGGGAGTGGGCCTGCCGCAGAACAACCTCGGCCAGCACCAGACCATGTTCTTCGGACCCGCCCACACGCTCACGCAGTACAGCTCGCTGCCGCGGAGGAGCCACCTGCAGGCGGGCGGCGGCGGCGGCGGCGGCTCCTCCGCCTTCCAGCGGAACACGCCAATCCGGCGCTCGACGGGCATACCGGAGCACCACCTGGAGTACTTTGTGCCGCGCAGCATCAGTGAGTTCAACCTGTCGGGCGTTGGGGATCTGGCCTTGCCCCCCGCCCCGTCGCTACTCCCCCAGCATGCTGGGCGGTGGTGGTGGCATGAACATGAGTGGCGGTGGCATGGGTATGGGCATGAGCGGCATGGGTGGCATGGGCGGCATGGGGATGGGCCTGCCGCACGGCCTCCAGCTTGGTCCGCCCCAAACGCTCCTCTGCTCGGCCACGCCCACCGTACAGCAGCAGCAGCAGCCGCCGCCGCCCCCCGCCCAACTGCAGATCGTGACTTTGAAGCCGCGCAGCGAGAAGATGGTGACCTTCGAGGACGAATCGAAGCAGGCGGTGGGCGTGGCAGGGGCAGGAGTAGGAGCAGGTGGCTCCGGGTCGGGAACCCCGCCGCACTGTCCGCACGGAGTGCCCACCACACCGCGCAAGTCGCCGGCGGTGGGCGACATCTTCATGTGACCAGGAGCCCAGGACGAGGCCGCCCAGCTGGACGCCGCGATGCGGCTGCGCGACAGCATCGATGATGCACTGTGTCCGAAGGCGGGACCCGCGCCAGGTGAAGTGATACGTGTCTAGGCAGGAGGAGCCCATTGCAAGTCCCCACAAGCAAACCAAACACACTGTAAGTAAATGCACACACACATACACACTAACACACTCCGTACACACACACAATCGCAAAAGGAACATCGCAATCGCGTAACACTTCCCAAAAAAGAAAAGAAAAGGAGAACGAAAAAAAGCATAGCCTACTTTCGAGGGCCACCGAGCTCAACTTGAAGTTCATCGTGTTTTTCTGCATATAAACTATAAATAAAACATTGGGCAAATATTTATTAATATGTGTGTAAATATAGCAAACAAAAGCAAAAGCAAAAGCAAAAACAAAAACCACAAAGGAAGCAAACAACTGAAGTTGAGTCGCACTTCGTGACGGAATGAGCGAGTGAATTAAAATTAAAATTCTAAATGATAAATGCATAAATAATTGAATGCTGCATGAGGGCGTTTTTAAAGTTAATGCCGCAGCACACAAACCCAGAAATTAATAAATACACACCCACACACACACACACACACACACACAACTATGAATAATAAATAGTGCGTGGGCGTGGCACTTTGGGGGGCGGAGCAGGGCAGGCAGAGCAAACAGAATGCAAATGAAAATGACAAATTGTATAAATACCAGAGGACAAAGTTTATTTAAGCGATTTGTTAGTTAGTCGCTCCTGCTCCCTCACGCTCACTCAAATGTATTTTGCTCAGCATTTTTTTTTGTTTTTGTCGTTTCTATGGCAAAATTTCAATTAGTTTTGTTTGTTGTTTCGCAGGGGATATGTAAATTCCTGGAAGGAAGTTTTTTTTTTCTGTATCACACAAATGCTGATGTAATTATTTTCTTCTTCCAGTTGTTATGCATACTGTTTTCTATTTTTTTTTAAGTTGTGAAAAGTATAACGAGAGAAGTACCCATAAACTTTTTAGAGCAGTATTGTTTAGTGCTTCGCAAGGACAATATGAATTCCTGGAATTCAGATTTATTGCATTGAAAAAATAATAGTTAGGTGCCAAAGTTACGTTTTGCAAATGTGTCTCCAAATACAGCCAACCGAAGTAAATGTTGTTTAAGCCAGCCTCTAAATGTATTTAACAATCGAACTGTTGTTCTTACGCTCAAAGTGTTATGTGTGTTTATGAGTGTAACTTGTATGTATGTATGTATGTGTCAAAGGAAACCGAACGGTATTGTTAATGTTGTGCCAAGCTTTTCATTCTCCGATTACTCATTCAACTGACTCCAACCGCTGGATGCCACGTAGCAGCGATCAACGAATTGCCAACGATTATCAAAAACTTCGGTGGCACTTTGCTTGAGTGTTCCGCTCTTTTTAGCCCAACGTCCAACGTCCAATTTCCATCATTTTCGAACCCGCCCACTGGCAATTAGGTTTAAACACTTTTTAAATGCATTTTGATTGTAGGTAATTGAGCGCGTGAATGGCCATTTGTTGTTTGTTTCTGTTTCTGTTTCTGTTTCTGTTGGTTTTGGCCTTGTTTTCCGCTTTTTCCGCTTTTCCCGTGACAGGGCATCCAATTGGAGGGCTGTCAAGCGAGCGGAGCAGCGTTTCGTTTCATTTCAAATGAATTCAATTTGAGCGACCACCGCCCCCACCAAGTGGGCGTGGCCGGCGCTTGCATTTGTTAATTTTTGCCATATTCAATTTGTGGCATTCAATTAAAATAGTGAAATTAAACCAGATAGGATAGTCATTACTCGTAACACACAAAGCATACAACTAAAACAAAAAACAAAAGAAAAAAAAACAGAAAACAGAAAAAAAAAAATTGAAAAACAAAAAGCGAAAATATTTGAAGAGACAAGTGAATAAAAAGTGCAGAACAGGATGTCCCTAAATTTATGGGCTCTGTCCGCGCAGAAACTAATTGCGAAGCTCCAACTTGTGTCATAGAATAAGCCAATTCAGATATATGTCTATGTAGTTAATAGCTAATAACTAACTAACTAACAACCAGCAGTACGGTTAAACAAAAAGCGATAAAAACAAATATTGAAAATAAGCCAATGTAATTAAATTAAGTCCACTTCAACACGCATACAACGACACGCACAGACACACAGACACACGGACAGACGGACACACAACCACAGACAAATGAATACCATCAAGTAAACATGGAGAAACTAAATGTAACGATAACGATAACGATAATTTTTTTTTTGTCAAATTCCTAGCACGGTAAGTTGAACTTTTAGGCTAACCGCATAGGCTGATTGCGAGTGGCAGTTAAGGATAAATTACTCTAATTCATATGTACTCCTAGTCCACTAGATACATATACATATGCATATACATATATATATGTAGCCGTACACAAAACGAAACTAATCTAGCATTGAGAAAGGCAAATAACAAGTAAGAAATACCGCAGTTCGCATCATATATATGTATACAAACATCTCTCTCTCTTATATATATATATATATATACAACCCAACCAAAAGAAAAGAGAAGAATAAATACATCATGAACAATTTAGTCAAAAATCAACAACTCGAAGTTTGTGTTTTCACTTGCGGCTTACAAATCTAGTGACTGCTTCAAATGGTAAAAGTTAATCCGAACAAGATATATCTAGAAGTAGATTTCGACTTTTGTTACTTACTTAATTGCAGAAATCGACTTCATTTGAGTTATAGTTTAGATTATTTCATTTAAGTTTATTTCGGGAATTATGTTCTTTTTAGATTCTTTTATTTAAGTTTATGTTGGGAATTATGTTCTTATTAAGTGATTACTTTTTAAGTTACCTAGGTTAATTGTTTGGTTTTTATTATTTATATTTATGTTGACTTCTTTTTTTCAGGATTTTTTCTGTTAAAAGAAATGTTCTTATTTTCCGTGGGATTGCTCGTACATGGAAGCTAGAGCCTAAATCTGAAAACTCCAGATACCTATATCAACGATTTTGGGTAAGTCAAACTATATTTTAAAGTTAGGGTGGGGATTAGAGGCTCGCTTTTTTCTGGCTGCCCCAAAACGTTAACAACCGAATTGAGATACATTGAGAAAATCATAAAAAAAACGAGCCACAAAATGGCCGAGTTCATTGGAGCGGCAGAATGCAGAGAGAAATGCGAGAATCTTGAATTCAAATGAAATTTGCACAGAATCAATTTGCGCGTTAATTGATAAAGATAAAAATGGGATAAAATGCGATAGGCCGACCAATAAAAAGCTCTCCCTTCCGCCGGTGCTCTCTTTTTGAATTATTTAATCATTTAATTAGTGTTAATAATTTATAGCAAACAGCTTCGCAATCAATTTGCGTTTCTGTGCGTATCTCTTGGCATATCTCTGTGCGTGCGCATTTCATGACAACTCTGGAATGAAATTTCACTTAATCAAGAGCTCCAACATCAGGTGTTCGGGCGAGTGGCATTCTGTTTGCGGCAATCGCAATGGGTTGGCGAATGGCGAATGGTGAATGGGCGTGCGCCCAGCTTTTTGCCACATCAATTTAATTTACTTCTGACAAATATCACCATATCCGGTCATCGCATTCACTTCATCTCCCCCATTCCCCCGGGCTCTTTGGTCAAGTGTTTGTCGAGGCTATAGACGAAATGTCAAGTGGAAAAGCATTAGCCCATCAAATGATGTGTAATGTGCTCAAATGTCTCTCGAAATTATCCAGCCACTGCATACGCATTTGGGCAGTGCGTTGCATGGGTGTAAGGTCATTCGATAGTACACTTTCTTCTTTTATAATGGGTTTCCATTAATTCCCTTGAGTGATGAGTGATTTAACCTCGGAGTGTTGAGTACCCAAAAGCTTCTTTTGAGTTGTTGAAGGGACAGGAGTTAGCTTACGAAGTTAACTAATACAGTTACGAAACGCACTGTAGGTCGATATTTGCATTGTTTGCGCTTCTTACAGCCGAATGTCGGTGTTCTGGGTGGCATCACAGAACCACCTCAATTCTCACAGATGAAAGGGCATTAAATTAATTTCGTGAAATGCCAACGAGCGCCAGCTGGCAGAGCAGAGCAGAGCAGATAATTCGGTCAGGTGAAGAGGGATCAGCTGCAAAGTGGATGTGTGGATGTGGTCCTTGGATCGAGGGATCTGCAGATGCAGATCCTTCACAGCAAGTAACACACATAAGTTAGACGTGGCAGGAACACGCGCATCGGAGTAATAAATTTCGCTTAAATGTTCTCCTTTGTTCGAGTCATTAAAATCGCATTTGGCAAGGGAAGCCAGCCGGGCTCGTATGTGATGACTCTCTGACGAGAATGAGAACGACTACTACGACTGCCAGGATGAGGATGACTGCCAGGGTATGAGGATGTGCTGCGCTGGGGGACGATGATGCTGATGCTGATGCTGATGATGGTCTCCATCTTCTCGGCAATGCGTTGCCATTAACGTTGACTGCGACGTTGTCAACACACTTGACATATAATTTGATTACGCATACGCATTTTATTAACTCATTTTCAGCGCAGCCATCCGCCCCGTTGGCCCGTTTGCCCCGTTTGCCCGTCCTCCCGATGGCGATATGATATACTTACGGGCGAGAGATATGCCTGGCCCATTAACGGTTACGTTGTGCCGGCTCTGCGGTTTTCAAGTGTGTTCCCCCTTCCCCCTTAGACCCTTCATTCCGGCCGCAGCATATTGTCTTCAGTCTTCAGTCAATTACAACAACGCGTCGCTAGTGGTGACAGCGATCGCAGCGGCGAGTGCGTGAGCGGAGCTCCTTGGGCCCGAATGCCATCGCTAGCGAGCCCGCAGGCAGCGGCAACTAATTTCTTTTTACAACTGTAGCAGTTCCTCAGCTTTATGGCAAGGCAGAGAAGCCACACATGCACACACACACACACACAGACGGCGAGCCCTACACTAAGCCAAAAACCCAAGATGCTCGTCCCCAAATCCTCAAAGCCAACGGAGGTTTAAAGAGGTTGGGCGGAGATAGCAAAACTTCTGGATGGAAGGCTATTCAGATTGGGCTTCAAGTCGGTTGGGATTCAGGAAACTCCGGGCAAAGGTGTCTGCAAGTGCGCAATTCAACTGACAATCGAGGGATAACAGGATGAATTAAATGTTTCACTTAATTGCCGCCTTGAATCCCAGTTTGGAGTCCTAAAAACTGAAGACAAAGAAGTAGGAATTCAGCACACCATGAAGTACTCGTATTAAGAGTGGCAAGTAATTCTGGCATTCAGGTTCTGGGATCTCACATTTTTTTCTGGCCGTGCAGATGCTCGCAGAGCCTCAAACAGCTGCTGCCAGAGCAAGCCAAGCCAATAACCCAACGGAGAGCAGCCACAAGGAGTCGGAGCGAACTGTTTGCTTGGAACAGACTGTCCTAATACACACACACACATACACATAGAGCACACACGCACACTAAGAGCGGAGGGAAAGCGAGGGGGAGGGGGAACCGCAAAACTTATGCCTTGGCCCAGCAGCAGCCATTGAAAAGTCGTTAGCAAAACGTCAGACAACACACGGCATTTGGCCAAAAGGATGCGGCTGCTTGCGGCTCCTTGGATCCTTGGTATCCTTGGAGTCCGAAGACGGCATACGGCATACGGAATACGGGTACGAGGTCCTGGCTTTGCAACTTTGCGGTGGCAAAACCGAGGGTCTGCTATAATATAGAGCTAAGTAACCAACTAAACTAAACGGGAGCTGCAAAACTCTCGATGGAGCTGCCAAGACAAACATCAACAAAATTCCATCGTCGTCTGCAAGTTAACCCCGTCTCGTCTCGGTTCGGGATTATGACGATTAAAGTTAGTGCATAAATGTCCCCAAGTAACCTGCTGAGAAGGATACCTGGTCGAGCATAGGTTTTTCGATCGCTGGCATGAGATAAAAGCCAAATTCGTTGGCTTTCCAAAGGGGAAGGGGGAAAAGGGGGAAAGGAAACCGCTCTGGTCAGTTGATTTGGGTTTCCCGAGGGAATTGGAATTGGAATTCCCAATTGGAGTCCCATTAACCCGCAGCTAATATCGCCCTGAGCCCGGCTAATGGGCGAAAAAGGTGGGCGGGCCTATCGGGGCGCCAAGTCTTGCGCAACCAAATTAAAAGTCCCTGCCGCTCCCCCTTTTTTTTTTTTTTTGGCCACTTCCGGTTCGGGCCAAGTGTAGCCATTTTGCGTACGTCCATAAATCTATTAGGACAATTTGGCAAAGGCAAAGCAGCCGGGGCAATTCGGAACTTTGTCTACATTTTTCGTTTTTTTTTTTTAGCCTTTTTTCTCGGTTCGTTCTATTTTGTTTTTATTTTGTGGAGCGCATCCAGCGCCAAAAGCAACCGCACAAAATCTGAAAAGCAGCAAACCGAACGGAGAATCTGGTTGGAGGTTGGAGGGCGGAGGTTGGAGGGAGGAGGGCGGAGGAGCTTTCGAGAAGGCGAACTGAACTGGCTGAAAGGACGAAGGCAAGGAAAACAAAAGTAAACATGCCCGCTTTCTTTATTTTTTATTCGCATTTTTTAAGTACTGTCAAGGGTATCGCTATCTTACGTCCCTTACACACACTCACACACACGCACACACACTCGCAGCTGGGTGATTATGTGACAAGCTAGAGCATTACTGTACACTTTAACGAACGGGGAGCTGAATGTTGGTTGTATTTATTTATTTTGATTACTGGTACTTGTTATATTTAGTAAATAGTAAAGCTACCCATTTAAGTCAGCCTCCTGGGCCTGCAGCAATTGTAAACTCCCAAGAGAATATTTATATTAATATCATAAGCCATGAGTGGCAACCCCGAACTTTTTCAGTGTGAACTTCAGGCCAGGCAGAGCCCTCTGCCAAGTTGGAGCACCGAGCCGTTTCAGCCATGCAAACAAGCTGCGGATGAACATGGCTGGTTACTGGGTACTGGGTACTGGGGATCTCCAGCCTCTCAATACACGTAATAATTTTTTTCCTTCTTGACTGGATTTACTCCCCCAGACGAGAGGGGGAGGAGTACCCCCTTTTACCCCATCAAGCCCAAACGCAGTTGGTCCCGTTAGTGTCAACTTGGCGCGAAGTTGCTGGCTGTGACTGCAAGATACTGTCAGTATATATATACATATATGCATAGGACCCGACCAACCAACCCAGCTAACCCAGCCATCCCAGCCCAAGTCTGCCGCATTCTGTAATAATCTATCAAAAATTGTACGCAAACAAAATGTGATTTGGCTCCACGTGCTTCGCATATCGCTCTCTCTCCAACGCACACTTTTCCTCAAGGGAAGCATTTTCTGTTCTGCATAAATTTTGTTCTGGCATTTGGCAATTGCCGGTACTGTAAAAAATTGTGCTTAAATTAAAAATACTCGTATAATAATATTATATAACTGCAGTGGTTGCTTAAGTACATGAATACCTTTAGAAAAGTCTATGCAAATTGAGTACAAGAAGTGAACTTTCTAATAGAATTTCAAGTAATATAATTCATTTCTTTTTGCCGTGTGGCATATGAGCAAGCAATGGTTGTTTGCCCATCTTAAGATTGTGATTGAGTTGAGTTCG